AATGTTAATAATAATTTATTTATTTTATTTATATAATATTATTATTATTATTATTATTAATATTATTATTATTAAATTAAAGGAAAATGTTCGACATCATATTCTACGTAACAGGAGGTAAATAAAAAAATGTATTTCTTCTTTTAATAGCTTTAAGTAAAGTTGCCGATAATATGACACTGTAACGTTAAATTATTCGGACGTTGTCGCAGCTGCGTATTTCACTGATCTAATCCATAAATGTATCAACACCATAGTCTAATTATAATGTCCCAAGTGTATCTTTCAGTGGAAGAGGAAACTGATTGTGTCATTATTCTTTTGTCAATTCTACATATCACTAAATGAATTTCACTAAAATTCTGCACCGTTGAGTAAGTTGTTACAAAATTATTATTTCGGAATGCCGCGCATTCCATATTTTATGAAAATTGCACTCGAATCGTAAACCGCCAAGAAGGTTATGATGACATTACTATTTGACAAAATTCCAAACTAACATGTAAATTGTTATAAAATTGCCATTCAGTATACGTATATTCTATTGTCTCTTCCCAAAGAAAATTGCACTAAAATTCCAAATTACTAGGTAAATTACTATAAGATCAATATTTAGCGTGCCTGTGTCTTATAGTGCATTGTCTCCTCCGAAACGTAATTGCGCTAAAACTGTAAACTGCTAATTAAATTGTTACAATACACATTTCTAGCGCTCCAGCTTCCAGTATATCGTTTCCTCCAAAAGAAAGTTTCACTGAAAATATAAATAATTATAAAAAATAAATTATAAATAATTATAAAAAACATTTAATGCCGTCATATTTTAGCATAACGTCTCCTCCAAAAGGAAGTTGCTCCACACGTTCTAAACAACAGAAAGTTGCTATTGTCACATGACATATTTCCCACTAAAACAGAGATACTTTTCAATTTATCACTTGCATTGTTCCGTTTCTCTCGCTGCCATTCTCGATCACGGCCGAAGCATCGAATAAAAGGATCAAAGCAGCGTCGATCGATAGAAATCAAATTGAACGGTGGTATTGGAGAACACGTGTCCTCGCGGATCGCGATACGAGACGCGTGCGAAATTCCTCGCGCGCCGGTCGGCCAACCAGAAGACCGTCTCTCTCTCTCTCTCTCTCTCTCTCTCTCTCTCTCTCTCACTCTCAATCTCTCTTCGATCCTCTCCTATCTTTCCCGGGTGACTTCTGTGTTTCCAAACACGTGTCATCGGGTATCCGTCTTCGAAGCAAGCTCGTATATTAACGACACCCGAGCCGCTTTCCCTTTCATATTCGTGCGAGGCCGCGTAACCGTCGCGACAGGGCCCGCCGTGGCTTCTCCAAACGTTCGTTTAATTAGAAATTAACGTCGCGACGGAGAAGGGGAAGGATGGCTCCCGGTGAACCGATAATGTTCCACTGAAATCTAAGCCGACACGATCCGATCGCCGTAGACCTTTCGCGGGGTCAATCGACGCTAATTCGCGGCGACGCCTTTGTCCAAAGAGGGACGACTTCGTGATCGCGATCGTGAATGTTTTTCCACTGTTCATTATATAATCAAGTGCCCATCGCGCCTGGATCGACGCCAACGGATTCGCCTAAGTTGCCACTCGTTTGTTCGATCGTCGCCGGACCGATCGCCGGCCGGAAGACCGTTCGGAAGATCCTTGTCGGTGATCCCTGTAGCCAGGTTTGAGGATCGATCTTTTTCATTCTTTTCTTCTGTCACAGTTTTACCTTGTGTTTCGGTCACGTGGCCCCCGCGTTCGCCGAGATGATCGGGTTCTTCGTCTAGGATCGCCGAACGCGATTCGATCGGCAGTCGGCAGAACCGGTTCGGGAACTGTGCCAGCCGAATCGAAATGTCCCGGCACGGATCCGTTCATTTTATTTCGCGTGAATTGTTCACGCGACGCGGCTGTTTTCTGTGAACACTTTGGAACTGTTTCGGCGGGGACGATATCGATCTCCACGCGGCAATTGTAATCGTATGTGCTCGTTGCTTGCGTGCTGGCTATAAACACCGGTGCTTGTGACCCTGAACCGATATCGTGACTGAAACAATAAAATGTGAGAATTACGAATGAAATGTTGAGAAATGCTTTGTTTTCACCGTGTAGAATATTTTTCGTAAATTGTTCGACGCTAGTTGGCCACTGGATCGTTGAAAGATTGTGTTTGGTTCAGCAATAGATGCTTCTTTTCGTTACGCCCTCGAATATTTCTCTCGCGAGATAATATTGGAGACACGAAAATTCTTGGATCTGTTAATATTTTATCTCTTCGTGGTAAAGTGTTAGAAACGCTTAGTAAATTGCACTTTATGCCACTCTATTGGTGCAATAAACTCTCTGATCTAGAATTGAACCGGCTGCTTCACATTGCGTAACGATGATTACTGTGTTTAGAGTATCTCTAATTGATTCACGACCGTATACTATCAATAAGAATACGATAGATCAGTGTAATAATTTTCCATTGTCTTAGTTCCGTAGCGAAATTTACACTGATTGAATACATTCGAATTCTCGACTAAACA